AGTCTGAAAAGCGAACGACTTTTCTGAGGAAGAAAAGCCCAAGAAGTCTAAGGAGAAAAATAAGCTACTTGATGGCAAGGGAGAAAAGATAGAAAAAGAAAAACTGAAGAAAAGAGTATAGATAAAGACTTTGAGTCATCTTCTCTGAAAGTTTCTAAACTAGAAGTCACTGAGATGGCAAAACCATCACCAAAACGCAAAGAAGAACCTGATGTTGAAAAGATGGAGAGGACCCCTGAAAAGGACAAAATGTCGTCATCATCAACTGCCTGCCCCAGAAAAAAAAAATAAATCAAGCTCAACAGAGAAACGGGAAAGAAAATTTGTAAGCGCAGAAAATTCCTCGAATACAAAAGACCCCTTGGAAAAATTAGAGTCCGCTTCTAGTAAAGTTCAACAAGAGAAGGTCAAAGCGAAGGTCAGACGAAAAGTCACCAGAACAGAAGGATCCGGCTCCACTCTTGCGGATTATACCAGTCCAAGCTCAACTGGAGGCAGTCCTGTTCGAAAATCTAAACACAAAACGGATACAAAGCGAACTGTCATTAAAACTATGGAAGAATAGATTAATGACAATACGGCTCCTGCCGAAGATGTTGTGATTATTATGATTCAGGTTCCTCAGTCCAAATGGGATAAAGGTGACTTTGAATCCAAAGAAGAAGATGTTAAATCTACACAGCAAAGCCAACTAGTGTTATAAAACATGTTAGCACAGAGCTATCAACTACAGCCAAGTATCATGAAAAAGAAACAGAGCCGTCAGAGAAAATTCAGAAACTTAACAAGGAAGCGAGCCATGAAATAATACTGCATGAGGTTAAAAGTTGAAAAAATTCAGCATCTAGTGAAAAGGTGCAAACCAAAGATCGAGATCATTTAGTGTTAGAAAAGGAAAATCCTGAAAAGAGGAAGAGCAGCATTCAACCAGAGAAAGAAAGCAGCTTGGATCGACTAAATGAACAAGGGAGTTTTCAAAACTTGTCCCAGTCTTCCAAAGAGACCAGAACTGCGGAGAAGCATGAGACCACGCGTGGTTCCTCAAGTAAA